ACGGCTCCAACGGACAGAGGGCGCTTGACGAGCGTCCGGGAGAGGCGGTGCCACCTCTCTGTCATCTTTCCTGAAGCCCGACCTAGTGAATCCCGCAGACCCAAACGCTCAGGGTAGTGGCTGAAGACGTCCTTATTTCCCGGGGTCCTCATAGCTTTTTTGCCCCTTCACCTATTTCCCGGAGTCTGCTTTGGCCTCTGACCATTTCCAGGTCCTTTGAACTATTTATCTTCTCACCTTCAGGGCTGCTGAGCGGGGACTGGAGATGTAGATAATGACCTTAACTCTGTCTTCCATCCAAACTTGTTCTTCCACAAATCAGCAAAACGAGGGCGATCCCTTCTGCTTTCCCAGAAAGAGGTGAAAGTCAGGAAACGGAAAGCTTTTTGTAAGTTATTAGGAGTTACACATCTAAGGGACCTACCATTATTGCAACTAACTCCACACCCCTTCTCATTCTAAATTGTAGTGCAGACTGTCAGCGCTTTCTCTCTCCTCTCGCCTTCACTGATTTTCAAATGTATGCAGACTTCAAGCTTCATTCATCAAGCTCGACATTTTCAAAAGTACCCCTTGCTTCCATCAGGCTTTCCAGTCCCATGAGGCTTCTCCTGGCTTCTCAATCCCTCCCAAGACCTGCGCGTCTGTAAAGGCTGGAAGTGTGTCTGAAGCCTCCCTGTACATTTAGGGCTTACCTTAGTTCCAGGAGTGGGAGGCAGAGGTACAATAATCCCGCAGAAATACACTTGAGATCCAGGGAAATGACCCGTCCCTCCCTCAGCCTCCTTCTCTGTTCCCAAGGATGGCCTGTAGGTGACTCTCTAGTCACAGCCTGAGATGAGCAGAAGTTGGGAAGCCAGCCTTTCATTAAACTGTCTACTCAGCCCACGGGTTCTAAAAGTTGCCTTTACTTAGGGTGTGGGAAATTTTGCCATAAATTACACAGTCTGTTTCTGTTCCCCGTTCTCTGCATTCCTGCCCTGAAGGACACAGCTCTTCCCCAAGTAGGTTCTCTGCACACGTCTTATGCCCCTCTGTGTAAGACCGGGAGTTGTTCCTGGTAA